TTTTATATAATAGATATGCACTTTCTCTACAACATAAAAAAAATTTGGCTAAATCTAATTACTAGTTGCAAAGATAAATCAAATAATTTATCATAATATATCAAATTTTATTTATCATCATATATCTCAATTATCTTGGCAACCAGTTATGGACTTGCTATTTTTTTTTTTTATTTTGTAGAGGACTAATTAATTAAGAACTTAAAAATTTATTACATATTATATATTATAAGAATTAAGTTGTGCTATATTAGACTATTTAATAGTCATATTTTTGCTATATATTAGAATTTAATCAATGACTATTACCCTATTAATCAACTTCTAGCCGGTGTATGATCTATCTTTTTTTATATATAGTTTTCTGTATTGTTAGTAGTATCTTGTTCCCCTATCCACTTCCTGCAGTAATTTTCTTTTCCTTCTAGTTTGGTTCATTTTGACAGTTTTTTGCTCTTGTTGCTCCCAAATTGGTGTATATGGTTTTAAATTTAATTTAGTACTACTCTGATTTAGATATATGTTGTGCTGCCATTATTGTGTTCATATCTTAAGCCAACTTTTGAAGTGCTACTATAACATGATCCATATCTCAAGCCACACAACCTTTCCAAACAAGTATAGCCAGATTTATTAGAATTTCTAGTTAGTTTAAAATTATATAACTATTATTCAAATTCATATAGGACTTCTTGACATCAATAAACTTATAAATAGGTGATGCCAAAAAGAAAACCAAACTTCAATCATATAAATTTATGATTGAAGTCTGGTTTTCTCTTGGCATCACCCAAATAATACTTGCGCCTAAATTAGTTTTTAACTCTGAATAACTAAAATCGTTGGCAATTACTAATAGAATTCGTTTTTTTCCATCCTTTGTTTTTTTGTTATCTGCTAGTGCTTTATTAAAGCATTGCTATAAAATATGAGTTTTATTAGGAACATAACTTGGTGAGCTATTTAAGATTCCCAAATTGTATAATTATTGAAGTATAGCCTGATCATTTTCATGCAGTGCATTTTTCGTCCATAATTGATACTGCGTTATAGAAATAAATGAACTTGAATTAGTATTTGTTTTATTTTGGAAGTTTAAACTTTACCTTTGATTCTTTAGGTGCCCATGCAGTTATATTTTGACAACTACTTGCACAAAGCATCGCACGCCAAGCACTTATTTCACAATTACTAAATTGGTAATCCAGAGGATAAATATCTCCAAGACTTGAATAAAGTTTGACGATGTTAGTTTGACTTTCCTGCCATTTTAGAATAAACTATGCCAATTTATATCTGCAAGCGTCCTTCATTTTAAGTGGTAATCAAAAAGAAACTTCATAAGAGCATAATTAGACCAGTTTTTTGGTAAACAAGTAGGAACATGATGTTGGCGAATTAGTGATTGCACATCAGAATCATCGAGCCCAAAAAGTTAAACACCAGTATATTTTTGAATATTTAATTTTTGTCACACTTCATTTGGAGATGACCCTTTAATCCGGTTTTTAATTTCAAAGTCTTTATGAACCTCAACTGCACAAAAATCATCTTCTATCGTTGAAAAGTATAGAATGCTTGTTCCATTTACATTACGAAGAAGTGAAGACTTATATCCCAGTCCACCATGATTCTATTCAGTGTTTGAAGAAGATCCAATACCAGAAACAAAAATTTTGTATTCACCAAGCGAAGAAAATATAGAAACAAATAATACATCTGTTAATAGCTGTTCAATTATTGATTCGTCCATCCATCCAAGTGCTAAAAATCTGGAATAACATGTTTGAGTATTGAAGATCTCTTTATATACTGTAGAAATTGCTGTAGTTGGATCCAGTTTTATGCTAGAACAAGAGCCACTTTCATAATAAAAAAAGAATTTTCAGAGTAGTTAATAATAACCATTATAAAAAATTCATGTTCATTTAAAATTATTTTTGTTTTTTGACCAACTCGAATAGGAAATTTTTTTTTTTTTACTTATAGTTGAAGTCCACTACCAGTATCACGAAAATGCGGCATAATGAATATTTTCATCTAATACCTCCTTTTCTATTAATACAGCGAAGAGTTTTGTTATTTTTATGATCTTTAAGAACCAAACTTCACAGATTTGTAAGTATATGATAAATCATTAGTATACTTATCCCCGAAATATTCTATAAAATTATGCTTAATTTGTACCAATCTTATCCAGATCAGCAATTAAATAAGATAGGTGGCATGAATACACCATCATCACACTAGTTATTTAATATAGTGTACAGATTCTAAAAATTAATTATAATATGGGCTGCTGTCAATAGAAATCAAGCAAATCTACATTTTTAAAAAAATTAATGTCTTAACTTTCATAGCTCACATCTTGATGAATTTTAAAGCTATCTTGATGCTTTAATATTCAAAAGAAAGCTTAGATAGTAAGCTTTCTTTTGGATATTAAATCATCAAGATAGCTT